GAGAATACTCATGGCTGAAGCGGCCAGTATACATACGTAATGACTCGTCTGGCTTCTGGTGAATAGTATACAAGTCATCCGCAGAATGCAAGCGATCGGTCTAGAAAATATGTTAAGAAACAAACAATTTCCTCAGTTCCTCAAATAAGTCTACCGTCTTAGATGGAAGACAGCAATACCAGTTTAGAGCTCCGTCAGAGAGGGTGGAGGGGAAGAGAAGACATCACTCTTCGTCGGTGTGCATCCAGTATACCATGGTGGGCTTAAAGAGGTTAAAGTGTTCAATCGGGTCCTCATTTCCAGTATAGAGTTGCAAGCCAAGCTTCTGCTTTGTCTTTGCTTGGAGGGGGTGTCGATGATCCTCCTTGTAAGAGGGCCAGGCCTAGGTTGGTTCCAATCAAGTATCTCAGCTTGTCGTTCAGCCTTCAACTTGTTTACTTCCTTAAGGAGTTGTAGGACAAGAGGGTCCTGAGTGGAGTCATGTACCACTGGAGCTTTCTTTCGTAAATCTCCATCTCCTCTTGGAAGTAGGAATGTTTGATCAAAATCATGTGATTTTTCCCTGGACTCGCCGTACTAACTTCCAAAGTATGTCTGTCAGAACATCTCTGAGTCCTTTATACCTTCGTGTTTCTCTAGGGCTTGCTGCCCCTTCCCTAAATTGGTAGCCGGCTTGGGACATTGGAGGGGACCGAGTCTTTCAGAGACCCTTGGGTTATTGATTTTGGAGCTTACATGGATGAGATTATCTCGATGTTGCTTTAGGAAGTCTCGACAGTCGCGAAAGACGGCTTTCGATCCTTCCACTCCTTTTGTAAGGAGGTGTCTTCCTCCACTTCTCTTGCTTCGGATCAAAGCAGCTGGGTTAAGAGAAGTCTCATGTTGGTTGCCATTTCGATGAGTAGCTTGCTCCTCAACAGGAATACTCATGTCGAGGGCAAATGACCTTCCGTGTTGGGGGCACCCAGTTGATGGTTGACTTCCACAGGGGTGATGAGCTTGTGTGTTTTAGTATATCTAGCCTCGTGGAGCATCTCGAAGACCTTCTCATACTGTTTTTGGAGGATCTCATTCTTCATCGCTATCTTGTTGTTCTTAGCCTTTAGCTCATCGACTTTAGCCTGAAAAGCAAACTTCTTTTGTTCATTTTTTCGTTGCTTCACACCAGGTGCAAGAAGGGTGTCATTCTATGTGTTGTGGCTTCCTTCGCTCCCCATGTTAGAAAGGGATACCTGGTCAAAAGAGAGTGTACGAATGGTGGAAACCAGCTTAACAAAGCTGAAGAGAGTGGGAATAAATGTAGTTCCCATAGACAGCGCCAAATGTTAATGCACAAAATCAGTAAGGACTTTGGTACAACATAAAGTGTTAAGTTTGTGACCTTCGCTAGATTGCTCCGGTCACTAGTGCGGATAAGTATGCAAATGGATAGAGACAGGGAAGCAAACACAAGATGTACGTGGTTCACCCAGATTGGCTATGTCCACGGAGTAGAGAAGTTCTCGTTAATTGTGAAGGGTTTACACAAGTACATAGGTTCAAGCTCTCCTTTAGCGAGTACTAGTGAATGATTTAGTACAAATGACATTAAGAAATATTGTGGGAGAATGATCTCCTTTTATAGAAGAGAGTTTCTAGCTTTGTTTTGACATTGACACGTGTCGTGTTGTGATTGGCTTCTGATGTTGACACGTGTCGCGCTATGATTGGCTTCTGATGTCGACACGTGTTGCTCTGTGATTGGCCTCCTGGTTTGAGGGAAACTCTTCTGGGTCCTTGACGGTATAACATTGACCGGTGCTCAGTAGTTTCAGGATTGGTCAAGTATGGTATAAACCCTCTATATAATAAATAATAAATAAATCTTGATACACTCACCTTTACACACTTCAACACCTTTCACCAAATTGAACCTGGATCGAAATCACCTTTAGTGACGACTTGGCTGATTGGCAATGATTTCTGGGACACTACCGTTAACATTTAGGCGATCAACATCCTCACAACCTTAATCTTAGAGAGTTTGTTTGGCGCTTCCTTGGTGGTCTAGTGACTCAATAAAGGGTGAGGTTTGCCTTGAGATAATGAGATTATAACCGAGGTGCATCTATTGTTGGTTGAAAACTATTTCCAAACCCTCTCTTAGGCATTGGTTAAGCCTTATGCCTTTGAGAATTTATGAAAGAGATTTCTCTTCCGAGTATGTCCTATTATAAGAAGAAAAAATTCATTGTGCAAAAAGTTATTTGATAACTTTTTTAATTATTTATTAAACCCACATCAACACATAACAAAATTTTTACAGAATTGTGACAGAAGAATCATATTGATTTGGGACAACTATTTTCAAGGACTACATTAATCGATTTTCAATTTTATGGACCATCTTAATGGCGTGGGTCAATTTTAGGGACCATCTTAATAGTGTGAGTCAATTTCAAGGACCATTTGTGATAAAAGTCTGTAAATCTTATGGACCCATTTATATGTCACATCAGTACTTAACAGAATTGTGACGGAATGATCACATTGATTTGCAACACCTATTTTCAGGAACTACATTTATTAATTTTCAATTTCATGGACCATTTTGATGGTGAGGGTCAATTTCAAGAACCATTTGTGATAAATACCCAATAATAAATGAAGTAATCGGATTTATAAATATAAAATTTTGAGATTACTGTCAAAGAGAGTTTTCAAGTGGCACTCTAGGAACAAACAAGCAAAAAAACGAAGGATTTAACCATGTTGATTTTAGTGAATAGACCTCATTTTTTGTTGAGAGTGACCTTGCAAGTTGGTTGAGTTGGAATGATGAATTTTAATGAATTTCTAGAAAGAAAAAAAAAACGCTTTTTTTACTTCCGAAAAAAGAAGAAGCAATAATTCACATTGATATCATGAGTTAACTTACGAATTAGCTAATGGTTTAGTGACAAGGCAAATAATAGAACCACTTACCTAAGAGCATCTTTAAATGACTAGGCAAATGCCTAAGCATTTAAATTTGATTAGTCTCATAAGCAAACTTGGCTCTAAGAGACTAGGCAAACTTTGATGAGTCACATAAGCAAACTTTGAGGAGTTATGTAAACTCATTTCATATAAGTTCTCCTCTGATATTGAACCTCATGAGTAAATTTGTCGTTTCATCTAGTTATATCTTGTTGTGTCTATCACATTACTAGACTCCATGAGGAAATTTGTCATTTCATCTAGTTGTATCATTACAACATTAGTCGCCTAAGGAGTATTATAACATTAATAATGAGTGTTGTAGAAACAAAAGAATATGTTTCAAATTATTGGTGCTAAAATCATAGTCAAACTATATCCTCTCATGATTTGACCCAATGTTTATTTCGCACAATTATAAGAGAAATGATGACTACATGTGTGTCATTGTTAGAGGCTGTCAACATATTGCGTTTGTATAATGATTTTGCATGTTTGCATGAGATTTGACTTTTTAACCAAACTATTGAGCATTGAATGAAACGCTGATCGGTTAAATACTTTTTACGCCTAAAAAAATCAAGGACTTTCTGTGTTGTGGTTGTGTTAAACGAACCCAGATCCTCTTCAGATCTAAAAAAATTGAGCTTAAGGATCAAATGATCTAGGCCATTGGAATTTGATCCAACGGCTACAATTATTATAACTTTTAGAGCGGCCTCCTGTTTATAACCGTTAGATTAAATATCAACTGCTTGGATCATTTAATCCTTAAGCTCAATTTTATTAAATCCGAAGAGGATTTGAGTTCGTGTTAAACGTACATTGATAACCTTGGGACCACCTAAACATCACATCAAGTAACCAAGTTGAAATTCAAAGTACTGAATAAGGATCCTTTTTGTGAGGATTATGGGAATCCGTGTATCATGTCCGTTCATTATACGTCGTACGGTCAGAAATCATTTTAAATTTTATAATTTAAAATTGAATATCTGACGAAAAATGACCGCACAATGAATGGACACGACTCACGAGTCCCTGGGATCCTCATAAATAGAATATGGATTCCAAAGTACTATCTATATACTGTATATATTAAGAGTTAATTGAAGGGAATTGTTATTAGCACTCCAAAAAATTTATTTTACACTCCAAACTTTTTATATTAGGAAAAAAATACACTTGTGAGGAGTGTAGAATGAAATTTTTGGAGTATCAATAACATTTCCCTTAATGGAATTATAATTAGCATAATGATCCAATGTGTTCAACTTATTTGAAAGAAGTGCATACCATGAATATTGAATCAAAGCAAACACTATTTAACCTATCAAAAGACAAGTGCGTACAAATTTACCACGTTGAATGCCTAAGTGGTTGGGTCTCTTGATTTTTTTCAAAATTTTATTTATTCTTGTTTGTGGTTTCATGGGTTTCTTTCAAGTTGAAAAAAAATAATAAATAAATAACCTAACAAAAGACAACACTACCGAAATATTAAATTCTATATGACATGGCGTGAAATGGCACAAAGGATGGTTGCTGTTAAATTTGACAGTAGCTTCAGGTAATTTGCAATTTATTATTAAATGCTTTTTTATTAAGTTTTCACGGAGTTAAAGCATTGCCTTTTCATTTCCTTTCGTTACCAATACAATATTTAAATATTTTTATACCTTTTAGTTCATTTCTTCTCATTCCAATGCAAAGAAAATAAATATGAATTTACTTATGTTTACAATTTGATATACCAGATGAAGTGCAAAACTGTAAAAGATGTAAAAGTAAACCAATTGTGTTTATGATAAATTAGCATATGCCTACATAGTTTCTTTGTGAACATGTATATTTTTGTTTTAAAATTGGAATAAGAGAGGGAGAGAGAGAACATGAAGTGGAGAAAGAGATTTTTGCTTTTCGTTTTTTTAATTTTTAATAGATATATGAAAAAAAATCACTTGTAGGTGAGACGTAAATAAAAAACAGAAAAAAAAAACAAAAAAATTTGGTATTGTAAAATTATATTACTGCCCATCATATTTCGTTGTGATAAAAGACTAAATAGTATTTTTCATCATCTTTCGATTGACAAAGAAGATTTTGTTAATAGGCAGATAAAAGCAAAAGGTATGGGAAAAAAAAGAAAAAGTAAATTTATTGTAGCAATTATTATTTGTGCTCACATGAGTCCCAGCAGGTGTCCTTCCGTACCAATCACGACCTTTTTCATCGACAGAAAGGAGGGAAAGACCTAGTTTCATCCAGCAGGTGCTCTTCCATGCTCATATCCTCTTCATCAACATACGAACTAATTACATGCTTTCGGTAAATCGGTGCACACACTACTACGTTAAGAGGATTAGAAATCAATTCAAATACAAGTTGGGAGAGGGAGCCCATGGAACTGTTTTTAAAGGAAAACTTTCTTCTGACTTCTTTGATGCTGTCAAAGTCCTCAACAATTCTAAGGGAAATGGGGAAGAGTTCATACACGAAGCAGGAACGATGAGCCATATCCACCCCGTTAACATTGTTCGCTTGGTTGGCTTCTGTGCTGACGGATTTATAAGTGCTCTTGTGTATGAGCTCTAACCTAACGGTTCACTACAGAGTTTCATTTCATCCGCCGACACTAAAGGATGCAACCTCTTTTGGGGCAAATTGCAAGACATTGCTCTAGGAATAGCCAAAGGAATTGAATATCTGCACCATGGATACAATCAGCGAATCCTCCATTTTGATATCAAACCACTTAACGTTTTGCTAGACTATAACTTCACTCCAAAACTTTCGGATTTTGGTTTGGCCAAGTTGTGCTCCAAGGATCAAAGCATAGTGTCAATGACTAAAGCTAGAGGGACCACGGGCTACATTGCACCGGAAGTGTTCCCAAGGAACTTTGGAAATGTGTCTTATCAGTAAGATGTCTATAGTTTTGGGATGCATTTGCTTGATATGGTACGAGGTAAAAGGATATTGGTGCAACCATGGAGAACACTGACGAGGCTTACTACCCAGGGACAGTCTATAATCTTCTAGAAGAAGGAGAAGACCCAATGGCACCGGTTGATCGTCCTCCTAGGAAGGTGGTGATTCAGATGTTTGGAGGAGAAAACTTAACCATGCCTCCTAATCCTTTTGCTTCTGCAGGAATAAGCGCAACTGTGCCATCAAGAAATTTGAATCTACAGTTAGAAACAATTGTTGAGTTAGAGAGTAATGAGTAATCAGACATTAAAACAAGAGTCCATGTCAGTAATGATCCAAAAGATCAATCATCCGACATAATGTAGCAACATAGGATTGTCAAGTAAGAGAATATTTCTTGTACTATGTATGTGTATGCGTAACCGTTGAATGATATGCATATGAATTTAGGTCAACACGGTGCTAGAATTGTGTCGCTCAATACAAGACGTAGATGTGGATGGACAAAATTCCACCTCTCAGGAAAGTACCACAATGTCATATTTTTATTCAAATCTTGGCCTATATATGGATTCTAATAGTATAAACAAAACCTTACAATGTTATCTTCTAATAGTATAAACAAAAAATTCTCCAAAGGCTCCGTTAGCAAGAGGCCACCCTGAATTTTTGAAGCAAAAACGTCGCCTAATCAAATAAAAACCTATCAATCAATAAATACAAGTTGAATGGTCCTTTTATTCTCGTTTTTTCTGTTTTTCCTTTTTCTGAGTGCTCTTAAATTATTAGAAACAAGATTATCAGCATCCATTTGATAACCTAACAATTAAACCATGACCAAAAATAAAAGAGAAAAACTGTTTTGTTACCTTGGGGCTACTAGATAAGGCAAAAAACAGGTCCACTCATTGACAATGTTGTCCTCAATCCCACCCCACTCATTGCCATGACCACCTCGACATCCAATCCTTGCTGCCTCATCACTGCTTTAATCTTCACCTGTTTTACCAAAACACCTCACCAGCATCCTTCCCTATAATCACTCCTGCAGCACATAATAAACATGATATGCCTCAATGCAGCAGAGGGAAAGTCTACCTTCAAGAGAAAAATAAATTATAAGTATTACCTTCTTTTTCCCTCGGCGGCAACATTATAAGTGTTACCTGAACCGAATAAGTTGAGTTTTTTCCTTTTATCTCATACCCAATAAAGAAGCATAAGTTTCCAAACTACTATCAAAGTCTCAAATTCTTCTCAAGAGAACAGTCAGAGCTTGGAAGAACAGTCAGAGCTAGTATTCCAAGCCCACCGTTGATGCATGTTTTCACTCAAAATATGAGGGTGGAGAACCAACAATTAAGTTGCTCTATATCTGGAGATCTTATCACTAAGAAAACGAATACTGGTCAAATTATGAAGAGAGTGTCCTCTTTACAGTCTCACCTTCCCCAGTATTGGGTCCGAAGGGATTGTTTCATCGGCATCTACTTCCTATCCATTTTCCTCTTTCCACAACCACCCCCCCCCCCTCTCCCCTATATCTTAGATCTTCTTTATGGAATTCAAGTATGCTCCTGATACAACCATTCTTAGTTTGTTAAGGAAAGAGTTTTCACAATCACTAGTAGCAGATGCAACAGGCGACACAACAGCAATAAGAATAAAATTTTCCCCATTTCCAACATCTATTTCATACAACTCATGAAAAACTTCTCTAAACTCATGTATCATTGTTGTGTAAAATGACCGATTTGGAGGAATAACATTTATAGCAAAGATGCCATTATCACAAAGAACTGATTTGGCAGCCAAAAGCACATGCTTCCTAACAAACTCGAACGGCGGAGCAATTATACCATCCCCAGCATCACTTGAATCTAAATCAGCAAGCACTACATCAAATTTAGTATGAACGTCATTGCCATCGCCCATGTCACAAGACTCACTACCATCCTCTACCTCATCTGCAAAAATAGAACCGGCAGTCCGTTCATTAACACGGAAAGCAAGTTTCTCTATAAACTTTATTGCATCCCCAACGTGAACATTGATATGCTCACCATCTTCCAGTCCGAAATACTTCCTAGCAACCCTTAGAACCTCCCCATCCGCCTCCACACCCACAACCTGAAAACTCAAATGGGCACTTAAAAATCCAAGCAAAGCTCCACCACCAACTCCTAAACACAAAACTTTGGGTCTAAACCCACTTCGAATCTGTTCCTCGACACAAGAAGCAACAAGACTCAGACTTGCCACCATAGGAACCAAATAAGGGTGCACTAAAACACTATTATCCAGCCTAAACTCTATTTCTCCAAATTCCACACAATCAAAACCAAAACCCGTCTTCGGAACAATGCGTACCTCCGTTTGAACCAAATTGGGCATTCTCTTAAACCTCAAACGCCTCCTGAACTCCCTCTTCGAAACCTCGCCGGCGCCACTCTCAATCTCCACATCCTCCACCACCATTTCCCCAACCAGAGACCCAACACACCTCTCCAAAACCACACTAGAAACCACATTATCTTCATAACACAAAATGGGTATCTCGGGAATGCCAAATTTGAAGCAACACTTTGGAGATAAAGCAAGCAAAAGAGGTTTCAATTTCTCACTCACCCCGAGTTCCTCATTACACGACGTGCCGTTTTTATCCGGACGGTGGTAGATTGGCGGTGAATGGTGAGCGTCTACGGATCGGTCGCTGCCGATGAGGATTAGGCGGGAGATCCCAGGCGAGCTGAGAAGGAGCTGGAGGTGGCCCGACTCGGTGGAGAATATCCAGTCGGACTCGCGGTGGATGGGGACGAGCATGGCGGCGACTCGGGGTGAGTCAGTGAGTTGAAGAGGTGAGTCGAGGACGGCGACGCGGAGGAGTGAGGAGGAGTTGGAGGGGTTTGGGAAAGTGAAGGTGATGAAACGAGATGGGGTTATGGTTTCGAATGTGTTCCTCTCCAGAGCCATTTCGAATGTGAACGGTTTGGAAAATTTGGGGAATTATGAATTTGACAAACCTCGGGCCTCGAGTATTTTTCATTACTCTATATAGTTTTCTTTTCTGTTTTATAAATTTTAATAGGACTTCTTTTTTTTATTTATAAATTTTATAAAATTGGTTTTGGTTCAAGATTCGAAAGATCTTTCACTTATAAGTAAATATTAAATGACAGCAATTCTCAATGTTAAATAACTACTTGTTAGAAAACAAATATTTATATTACGAGGTTGTATTATAGAGTGGACCGAAACAAATATTCAACAATATACACACTAATTGATCAATTTTGAGCATTTTTGTAGATTATATGATTGGAAAGCAAGAGCATTACATAAACAATTAAAATTATTACTAAATTTTGCTGGGAAATACTTGCTAATAAGCGATAAGAAGAATGTTAGGCACCTTCCCTACTTGTATTCTCTAACTTGTCTTTCCCAAACAATGGATGACATATGGGTATTGTGTTTAAAATTTCTTTCTACTCATTTCTACTAGTATCATGAACTAAATCTCATATATCAACCAAATTATTAATGATATCCATCGAAGTACATTTGTCAAATATTCGCAATTCTACTTAAACGGTTTGGGAGAGGCAAAGTAAACAAAAACTTCGAACTACAAGAACTTAAAACTAGAAAGATACAAAATTACACAAAAATAAAAAGGAGAATCTTTAGAAAATTAAACTTGCATAAAAAATAATATTAATAATTAGATTTGTGGTGAATAATATCAATGATTTGGTTGATATATAGGATTTAATTAGAAGTAATGGTGGAAAGAAAAGAAATAAATTTTAATACAATTAATACATAGATTTAGGTGTAATGATTGTCCACATGTATTCATTGAGTGAGAAAAAAAGTTGGAAAAGGCAGTGTAAAAGGTATTTAACATTTTTCTTATTATAATAGTATAAATATAATATGAGAGTGGTATTACTAATTATCTTAGGGTGTGGTTGTTTGCCATCACTAACTTTCACTGGACTAACTAGATTACATATTAGTTTAGGCACGTGTTTATGACAAGCAAGACTAAGTTTGATGGGATAAAGGAGGGCTCGCCTCAATCCTCACTAGGAGGTCTTGGGTCTTACCAAGACCTCCCAAAAAGCATCGGACTGCTAAATTCGTCTGCTCTGCTTCGCCTCAAACTCGTCTTGTTTGCTTGGCACCGTCGAGACCCAAATCCCCAAAAGACGAGATCTTTGTGAACCTAATGGTGGGTTCATAACACGACAAGGAGGAGTGTAAAGAGGCTTAAAGCCACCTAGTGCGCTTGAAGGAATACAGGAGGCCAAGAATGCCAGCGATTTCCCATCGAAATCATTCCTTCGTCCATAGAACCGCCAGAAGAGCGCCAATGTAGTAATACGGCGTCGGAAAGAAAATCGTTCTGTCAACAGCATTACGATCAGATCAGAAACAATGCTATGAATAAGAAAACGAAGACGAGAAAATCATATGAAAACAACGATAATCTTAAGAAGAATCTTGATCCAAAGAGGTGAAATATCCAAATTTTTTTTTCTTCTTAAATATTCTATATTTTCTTGGAATCAATGGGTTAAGGATTTTAGATACCGTGTTTTGCAGGAAAAAATGAGAAAAAAAAAGAGAAATGAGAGGTAGAGAATAGGACAGAGAAAAGGAGAAAGATAAAGATGAGTATTTTCAGAGGTGTAAATTGTAGCAATGGTCCCTCAACTAAAAATCCATTACCATTGGTCCCTCAACTTATCAAAATGTGTAGCTGTAGTCATTTTCATAAATTTCGTCAAAATTTTGTCAAAATAAGTTATGTTGGAATAATCATTTATATAATTAGGGTCCTTCAACTCATCAAAGTGTGTAATTATGGTCATTTTCGTCAACTACGTCAAAACTAGTTATGTTGGAAGGACCATTGCTACAATTGGGTTAAAGTTAAGAGACAATTTCTCTAGTTGAATTAAAGTTGAGAGACTAATAGTAATGAATTTTTAATTGAGGGATCATAGCTGCACGTTTTGATGAGTTGAGAGACCAATGGTAATGAATTTTTAGTTGAGGGACCATTGCTCCAGTTGGGTTAAAGTTAACCATAACTACAATTTACTCATTACAGAGAGTGAAAGAGTTTTTTAGAAAAATAAAAAGAAGTATTTAATAATAAAATATTATAATATAAATTAAATAATAAAATATTAAGATTGGTTAATTATTCTACTTCTAGTACAATACACCACCAAATATTTTATTAAGTTAGTCCAACTTAATCTATTTTAAATCAATCCAATTTAATCTCATAAACTAATCTAATTTGAGATAGTCCATGCAATAACTCGCCTTCAACGAGAGTATTGCCATGCCCTTAATCCTACTTTAAAGTGAGTGAGAATGAGCTAATAAACATAGTTAAAATATAAAAGTCAAAATATTACTGTCGACTGCTGATAATACTAATAGTATGACGGGAGATATTTTTTAAGGAAAACTAATGAAAAGGGCTTGAAAACTTTGAGTTTTAATGATAAGGATAAAATAAAGAGTAAAGTGAATAGTACCAGGATTGACTTTTTAGTGTAAAAATATGGTTTTTCGTTAAAGTGAACAGTACCAGGTGCTTTTCATTAAAGTTCCCTATTTTTTAATGTGTTAGAAATACAATCTAATACATCAAATATATAATATAATTATATAAAAAAATTATTCAAAATTTTAATCAATTATATTATTGACGCTAGCTGTCACCGAGTAAAGTTTCCAATGATGAAGGTAAGGGCAAAAGGCGGCAAAAATTTCGAAGGCAACTTCCGCTAAATCTCCAAATATCGCAATTTCCAAGTTTCAACACAACTCTATCTATCTGCGCATCGTCCCCAACAAACACAGCAGGTATGTCTCTCTCTCTCTCTCTCAATACCCTGATCTCTGCATTTCTTCTTATTTTCTGTTTGGTTGCCGAGAAAACAGAAGGACAATTTAAAGGAGAAGAATTATGATGGCCGCGTTAATCGTATTATCGGTGGTTCTGTGTTTTAATGTATTGAATCCAACATTGATGAATTAATTATTTGTTAAATAACAGGAAGGGTCTCTCCCAGACCCTGAATATAGCGGGAGCCGCACTGGTTACGACCTTTTTTTTTTTTTGTAGATCCTCCGAATTGCTCCACTAGCTTCGATGTGTATAAGAGGGCATTTTCTAGAAAGTGGTTTATAACTTTCATTTAAGTACTGCATTCTGATATTATTACATTGTCTTGGATTTTTTTTTTTGTTCTCTGAATTATGTTTGTATTATTTTCTAAGAAGGTTTTTTTTTTTTTTTTTTTTAATCTTATTTTGTAGTGCTATACCGTCGTATTTGCGTTCCTTTTATGTATTTGTGCTTAAATGTTGTTGTTGTTGAAACTTATAAGTAATTGCTGCAATCGCAAAGGTTATGAGGTTCATGCTTAAAGGATGGTGGGAAATTGAAGATTGATATAATTGAAATTATGAAGCGGCAATAAATGGTTGTCATCTTAAACAAGATTTGCTTCTTGCTCGATGAATTGAGGTTGGTAAAACAAATCTAGACAGTAAACATTTGAAACTGTCTAATGTCTACCCAAGTGATCATAAAAAAGGAGTATTTTTCTAAGTAAATAATTGGATATAATGGCCCAAATGGGAGAATAAAGAAAAATTGTCTTAATATTTATGATGGGATTTATGATCATCCCTGGTATGCTTGTCTGTGTATTATGGTTATTTGAAGGATAATTCTGGATGCGGTGAGAATGGTTTGTACACTTTTTTCCCCGTAATGTCAGAAATTGTTCTTGAAATTTATGATTGACAGAAGTTTTCATAGTACAAGGAAAGTGAACTTAGAGGAGATGTACAGTCCAACTCATATCATATATGTTTGTAGTTTATGGAGTATTATCATTTTTAGAGAATATTTACTATTGGAAACATATGGGTTCTTATAGATTTCCTTGCTATATTTATCTCTCTTGTAGGATTTCATATATTTATTTAGGTTCCTATGGAGATTCCTGTGGAGTTAGCTTAATGTGAATGCCTCTAACTTATGTCTGGGCAAGATATATTTATCAACGATTTAAAAGTTGAGCATTAGTGTTGGGAGAAAATGATGAAATCTTAACTTAGAGTTTCACATTATTCCAGCGTACATTTCTTTATTTCCCATTAGGTTGTTTGAAGTATTTTGTTTGTGCAGACGTTTTTAACTTCTGTTTTTTCTTGGTTTCTTATTGCTTATTCCATTGTTGGAGTAGTTTCTACTTCCTGTAACTTTCATGCTGTGGTTTAGAGTTAAAAATTCTTGCCTATGAGTTTGGTACGTGTCTCAACTAATTGGAAGTACATTTTGATAAAATTGCAGTCATCTCATATGAAGAGTCAAATGCAAAAGCTCCTATTATAAGCTGGGCATATTGATTTGAAGTTTGTCACATGATGTAAAGAACCAGAGGATTTAATATTATCGCAACTATATGTTTGTTGCAGTGATATATACAAGTAATAAAACCTTACTTTAGTATTGAAACTCTAATATAAATCTGCTCTCTATCCAGCGTCGTTGTTTATGTGGTTTGCATACTGTTGTTCTCTGTGTAAGTGCGGTATTCTTTTTTTCTTTTTTTTTTTTTTTTTTTGTGGGGTGCATTTACCTGGTTTCAGTCCATGGTAGTATCCTATGAAGTAGATGTTGTGGTTTACATTTTGATTAAGTTAATTTCTTTCAAGTTGGTTACATAAGGAATTTACTTTTGGTTTCTAGAAATTGCAATGACTTAAGGATACTTCTTGGAGGCAGGTTTTTATTTAAGGTATATTAGCTTCGACAGAAGTACTGTGGGTGGTTTCATCTCCAGATGCTCTATTGTAGCAATAGAAGCTTGAAAGGATTTTTTGATCATCAGAACTCTATATTGCAGGTAAATGCATTGACAATTTGTAATTGCCCGTCTTCATAACACTGGCATAGTTGCAGCTAACTTCATTAAAATTT